TTCCGTTGGAAAGATGGCATCGTTTCATACTGAAAGCGGGGTTTCGTGATCGTAGATGTCTGGTGACCCTTGCCTTTTGTGCCATTTCCCCCCCACTTTTTTGGGTTTTTCCCTTTCAGCGTTTGTGTACCATATTTCGTTTCCTTTCCAACACGTGGTTTGGGGGGCTGTGGGGGGGGGAGCCCGGGTAGCATACTGTGGTTTCTATGGTTGGGGGTTGGGTGGGAAGCTGTGGGTATGGTTGTAATTGTGTGTTGGGATGGTGTGATAGGTTGTGGGGTTTGGGATTTTGTGTGTGTGCTTGCCCCTTGCTGCTCTGTTCTGCTCTGCTGACCTCTGCTGGTTCTATCCTTGTCTGCTTTTCTGCCCCTTTCGTTTTTTTTGCCCTCTCCCTAGTGCTGTCTCTCGGTTTGTGTTCGTCTCTGTCTAGGAACACCTTCGTGTATCTTCCGAGCTTTTAACCGTGGGTTTCTCTTGGGGGATCCTGTTGCATGTTTCGTCCTGAGAATCAGCTTGATCATGGGTTTTTTCTCCCCTTCAATTTCCCCCCTATTCTCTGAAAATTTAAAATCTCGCCCTTTTCTTCCATTTCCGTAATTTTTTTTTCAAAATTCTTTTTTTTCCTCCCCCCCTTTCAGTGTGTGTCCTTTCCTCTCTCTCCCAGCCCATATAAAAATGATTTTTTCCCTTTCCTCCCCATTTCCCCTCCCCCTGTGACTCTGGTTCCCTTTTTATGTGGTCATTTTTTCCCTTGATTTTTAGGGCTCTTGGTAAAGGTTTGCCTACATTCGCCTTCTCCCCTCTCCATCTGACCCTCTGCTTTTCCCCTTCCCCCCCCTGGCCCCTTCTTGCAGGGTGATATGCCTTAACTACTCCTTTCCCCCTGTTCAGCCTCTCAGCTTCTATGGTGTGTTTTATGGTCACCCCCCGAGACCTTTTTGCCTGTTTACCCAAAAACTAGGACCTAACCATGGCACGCGTTTGACTTGTGCCCCCCAATTTTCGTCTCCCTTTCCCAACCCCTTTTCCCATTTCCCGGGGGTCTTTTCCCCCTTTTTTCGAAAGTCCCTAATTTTCTTCCCCCTTCTTGCTTATCCTTCCCCTCCCCCCATTTCCCCCCTACCCGTCCATTTCCTGATCCCGATTCCTGCGGCCCAACATTTTTTTTTTGAAAAAGGAGAGAGAGAAAAAAAAAAAAAGGAGGGGGAGGAAAGGAGGGAAAAAGAAAAAAGGGGGGGTAGAAGGAGAGAAGGGGGAAAAAAAAAAAGGGAAAAAAGGGGGGGAAAAAATGAGAGAGGGGAAAAAAAAAAGAGGGGGGGGGTAAGGGGAAAAGAGAAAGAAAAGAAAGAAAGAGAGGAAAGAGAGGAAAGGGAAAAGGGGGAGGGAAAAAAAGAGAGGAAGGGGGGGAGGGGAGGGAGGAAAAGAGAGAGAAGGGGGAGAGAGAGAGAGGAAAAGGGGAAAGAAAAAAAGAAAAGAGAAAAGAAGAAAAGGGGGGAAAAAAGGAAAGAGAGGGGAGAGAGGAGGGGAAAAGAGAGAGAGAGAAGGAGAGAGAGAAGAAGAGAGAGAGAGGGGAAAGAGAGAGAGAGGAAGAGAGAGAGAGAGGAGGGGAAGGAGAGAGAGAGGAAGAGAGAGAGAGAGGAAGAGAGAGAGGGAGAGAAGGAAGGAGAGAGAGGGAGGGAGGGGAAGGAGAGAAAAAGGAAAGAGAGAAAAAGGAAGAGAGAGAGAGAGAAGAGAGGAGAAAAAGGAAGAGAGAGAGAGGAAGAGAGAGAGAGAGGAAGAGAGAGAGAAGGAAGAGGAGAGAGGAAGGAGAGAAGAGGAAGAGAGAGAGAGAGGAAGGGGAGAGGAAAGAGAGAGAAGGAAAGAGAGAGAGAAAAAAGGAAGAGAGAGAGAAAAGGAAGGGGAGAGAGAAGGAAAGAGAGGGGAGAGAAGAGAGAGAGAGAGGAAGAGAGAGAGAGGAAGAGAGAGAGAGAGGAAGAGAGAGGAGGAAAGGAGAGAGAGAGGAGAGAGGAAGAGGAAAGAGAGAGAGAGAGGAAGAGAGAGAGAGAGGAAGGAAGAGAGAGAGAGGAGAGAGGAGGAAGAGAGAGAGAGAGAGAGAGAGGAGGAAGGAGAGAGAGGAAGAAGAGAGAGAGGAAAGAGGAGAGAGAGGAAGAGAGAGAGAGAGGAAGAGAGAGAGGAGAGGAAGAGAGAGGAAGGAGAGGAAGAGAGAGAGAGAGGAAGAGAGAGGAGAGAGGAAGGAGAAGAGGAAGAGAGAGAGAAAGGAAGAGAGAGAGAGAAGAGAGAGAGAGAGAAGAGAGAGAGAGAGAAGAGAGAGAGAGAGGAAGAGAGAGGAGAGGAAGAGAGAGAAGAGAGGAAGAGGAGAGAGAGAGGAAGAGAGAGAGAGGGGAAGGAGAGAGAGAGGAAAAAGAGAGAGGGGAAGGAAGAGAGAGGAGGAAGAGAGAGAGGAAGAGGAGAGGAAAGGAAAAAGAGAAAAAGGGAAAGAGAGAAAAAGGGAAAAAGGGGGAGAAAAAGAAGAAAGAGAGAGGGGGGAAGGGGGAAAAAAATAAGAGAAAAGAGAGAAAGAAAAAGGGGAGAGAGGAAGAGAGGAGTGAGGGAAGAGAGAGAGAGGGGAAAAGAGAGAGAGAGGGGAAAAGGAGAGAGAGAGGAAGGAAAAAGAGAGAGGGAAGAGGAGGGGGAAGAGAAAAGAGGGGGGAGAGAAAAGGTGAGAGAGAGGGGAGAGAGAGAGAAAGGGGGAATTGAAAATGAGGGGAGGGGGAGGAAGGAGAAAAGAGAGAAAAATTGGGGGGGAAGAGGGGGAGAGAGAGGGAAGGGGAAAGAGAGAAGGTCCAGAAAGGGGAAACCTCCCTTTGGGGCTAGCTGCAAGAACTGTGTCAAAATGTCAGTGGTGACAAAAAAGGCAGGAGGGGGTTTCCCATTTCCTTCTTAAAATGTTTGACCAAAAAAGGCTGTGGGCCCAGGGCAAGTTGAGCCCCAAAATTTTTGAGAAGATGTTGGGAGACCAGCTAGCAGCACCTCTAAATGCATCTTTCAGAAATGCCTAGTACAGTTTTAAAAGGCCCCCCCTCTATGGAAAGAGGCAAATGTAAAATCCCTGGGTTTACAAAAAAGAAGAGAAAAGGGAGAAAACAGCCCAATCCCAACCCGGGTCCCCTCCTGTCAACACTGGTAAGATCCTTGAGACAATAATCTCAAGACAAATGACAGAGTTTTTGACTACCACTCACTATTTTTGTGATCGTCAATATGGCTTCAGGAAAGGTTACTCTGCTGCTGATCTGTTTTTTAAACCTCCCACTAAGTGGTACCAGTCACTGGATGAATCCAAAGTCAGCTGTGTGGTAGCATTTTGGACATTGCTGGCGCTTTCGACCGGGTGTGGCACCAGGGCCTCTTAGCAAACTTCAAGCACTGGGAATTGCAGGCTCTATGCTATGTCTCCTCAGTGATTACCTTCATGGTAGATCTCTTAAGTGTAGTTCTCAATGGAAGGGAATCAGCAAGACATCCTTTTGGGGGCAAGTGCTCCACAAGGAAGCGTGCTGGGTCCATTTTTATGGAATGTCTACTTCAACGACCTTCTTCATCTCATCCCAGAATCACATGCAAAATGCAGACGACGTACATGACATTCACTTATCCAAGAGAAGAAATCCCAGCTGCTCAAAAGCTACATCAATCACCAGCTGAGAGTATATCAGCTTGGGGAAATAGATGGCAAGTAACATTTGCACTGAGAAAACACAAAATGATGATCGTCTCTAGGCGCCATGTGGTAATGCTGGTGCAGTAGTAAGGATGAATGGGAGGGTGCTGGCACTTGGAGAAGAAGTTGATATGCTTGGGGTAAAAACTTGACTCCAAACTAACCATGAAGAACCATGTTGTAAATCTTGCAAAACAAGGCAGCCAGGAAGCTTACAGCACTTCGCCGTATCTTGCATCTGCTGACAGTAGGGGTTGCAAGATCCTGTACGGGGCCCACAAGTACGCTCACACCTTGAGTATGCTCTACTTTCTTGGTTTGCCTGCCCCCCTCACATCTGCGACTGCTTGACAGAGTAGAGAACAGAGCAAGACGTCTCATCTCTCGCCTGGACCATCCTGGATAGATCTGTCATTTCAGCAGAGCCTTCAACATAGGAGGGATGTGAGGTGGCCTTACTGTTATGTACAAGGCCAATATTGTCAAAATACCACACTTGGATCCACTTCGAGGACAGCATGAAACAAGCTTTTATGCAACAAGACTGGCAGAAAGCAGCAACTTCACTCTGGCTGTACCCTTCTCCAGAACATCACTCCATCTGAGATCATACATACCCAGGATGACTCGAGTATGGAACACATTCGTACAGCATAATGATGTCAACGAGATAACGTCAGTTGATCAAATGAAAATGCTGGCCCACAGATGACTCCAACTTCATCCTGTTCCCTACTTGTATGTCTCATAACAATAAAAATGCTTTCAAACGAGCTGATGTAGGTAACAGCTCTTAGCTTGCCAATAAAGTTAGGAATCCTTAACCTGTAAATAGCTTGTCAATAAAGGTAGGGATCCTTAACCTTGTCAAACCCTGTGTAAAAAAAAAAAAAAAAAAAAGAGAGAGAGAGAGCGAGACACACACACACACACACACCCAGCCAGCCAGCCAGCCAGCCAGCCAGCCAGCCAGCCAGCCAGCCAGCCAGCCAGCCAGCCAGCCAGCCAGCCAGCCAGCAGCCAGCCAGCCAGCCAGCCAGCCAGCGCAGCCAGCCAGCCAGCCAGCCAGCCAGCCAGCACAGCCCAGCCAGCCAGCCAGCCAGCAGCCAGCCAGCCAGCCAGCCAGCCAGCAGCAGCCAGCCAGCCAGCCAGCCAGCCAGCCAGCCAGCCAGCCAGCCAGCCAGCCAGCCAGCCAGCCAGCCAGCCAGCCAGCCAGCCAGCCAGCCAGCCAGCCAGAGCCAGCCAGCCAGCCAGCCAGCCAGCCAGCCAGCAGCCAGCCAGCCAGCAGCCAGCCAGCCAGCCAGCCAGCCAGCCAGCCAGCCAGCCAGCCAGCCAGCCAGCCAGCAGCCAGCCAGCAGCCAGCCAGCCAGCCAGCCAGCCAGCCACCAGCCAGCCAGCCAGGCCAGCCAGCCAGCCAGCAGCCAGCCAGCCAGCCAGCCAGCCAGCCAGCCAGCCAGCCAGCCAGCCAGCCAGCCAGCCAGCCAGCCAGCCAGCCAGCCAGCCAGCCAGCCAGCCAGCCAGCCAGCCAGCCAGCCAGCCAGCCAGCCAGCAGCCAGCCAGCCAGCCAGCCAGCCAGCCAGCCAGCCAGCCAGCCAGCCAGCCAGCCAGCCAGCCAGCCAGCCAGCCAGCCAGCATCAGCCAGCCAGCCAGCCAGCAGCCAGCCAGCCAGCCAGCCAGCCAGCCAGCCAGCAGCCAGCCAGCCAGCCAGCCAGCAGCAGCCAGCCAGCCAGCCAGCCAGCAGCCAGCCAGCCAGCCAGCCAGCCAGCCAGCCAGCCAGCCAGCCAGCCAGCAGCCAGCCAGCCAGCAGCCAGCCAGCCAGCCAGCCAGCCAGCCAGCCAGCCAGCCAGCCAGCCGCCCAGCCAGCGCCAGCCAGCCAGCCAAGCCAGCCAGCCAGCCAGCCAGCCAGCAGCCAGCCCAGCCAGCCAGCCCGCCAGCGCAGCCAGCCAGCCAGGGCCCGCCAGCAGCCAGCCGCCAGCCGCCAGGCCAGCCCCAGCCAGCCAGCCAAACCGCCAGGCCGCCAGCCAGAGGCCGCCGCCAGGGCCCGCCAGCCTGCGCCTGCCCCGCCTGGCCTGCCTGCCTGCCGCCTGCAGCCGGTCAACCCCCCT